TGGGAGGGGGATGAGAGGATTCACAGAGACAGAGTGGGGAGCAGAGCAGGCAGATCTACTGAAATACACTCCTGATGGGAGCAGTGGGTGAGACAGGAGAGATCCGCTGTGCCATGTAGGTTTGATCCCTGGCTGGGGATCTAACTTAGTTCACAAAAACCTTGCTTCAAAATTCTTTGCTCTTTTCCTCTTCAAAGATCTTCATTCATAACTATTTCATCGACCCCTCGCCTGTGACATAACCATGAATTTTATCACCAAGAATAGCTCTTCTAAATTCTTATATCTCAATGTACTTATCTCTGCCCATAGGATATCTTCCACTAAGCTTTGCTCTTAATTATTCTCCTTACATCTATGTTGAGAACATCCCAGAGATCTATGGGATGACAGAGAACATCTATGACAGAGAACAGTCTCTCTGTTCATTGACTTCATCAAAATCTCAAGCCTATCCAAGCTGGGACCTATAGAATAATGCTTTCCAAAATAACTCTATAATGATGTAAATGCTCCCTACAGGTCCTGACCAATATGGTAGCCACCAGCCATTGTGGCCATTGAACACTTGATGAGTAGCTTGTGTGACTGAGAAACTGAATTTTTATTATTTAATTTTAACTAACATGAGTTTTAATAGCCACACATGACTAGAGGGTCTATTATTTGATGGCAGTGATAGAACATCTTTTCATTCAATCTCTTTGTGCAGTTCTTTCCAAGATCACCCAACTTTTGTTCTTCATATCTAATCTTACAACTGAATGGTTGAACACTCCTGGAGGAAGTAATTAAGTTGTTAAGACTGGAGACATTACAAGTATGTCATTTTCTCATCCCACTTAACTTGGCCTCTGGATTTCCTACTTATTTATCACCTTCTCCCTCCCAACAGTTACTTCAGCAGTATCATCTTTGTTATTGCTTTTAATTTCTCTTTCCTTTAAAGTCAAAGTTCCTGAAAGAGTAAGCAGCAATTGCTGTCTCCAGTCCCCTACACCATCACCCAGCTCCCCACCAAAACTTGCCAGGCAAAGGTTGGTAGTGGCTTCCCACCATTTCCAAACAGAGAACTATTTTCAGTCCTCACCATCTGACCACTCCATTGAAAGTCACACCATTACCCATCTCTCCTTCTTGAAACTATTCTTTCCCAACCTCTGTGATCCAGATCAATTTCTTCTGATCATTCATTAAGTGATGATTCTCTTGAATTGCTTGCTCTTAATCTTCTCCTTATTCTCCACACTCTCTAATTTTCCTACTCTATCCTCATGGGATCACAGCCAAGGATTAGCTAATAATTCAGAGATCCTTAATTGCAGCATATAACTTTCACTAAGGTTTCAGGTATCCATTTCCAACTCCCTGCTGAATACTGCCATTTAGATAGCAACAGGTACTCTCTTTCCTATATTTGAACTTCCTGTCCTCAATCTTAGTGATTTCTCCTGACTGGTGATCATCTGAATTATCTGTACAAAATACCTGTGTGAGGTCCTGCACAGCCATGGCTGAGGAGAGCTGGAACTATAGCAGCTGGAGTTGGACTAGATAGTAAGGAAAGGATGAGGAGACAGTATGGAGCAAAGAAAAGGAACATAAGAGAAAAATATTTTTGTATTTACTTGGAGTTCTAGAAACATTATTTTTTATGTTACGACAAAGATTCTTTGCTTCATCAAATTTTAGGTAGGCTCCTGACCTCCCAGACCCATCTATACGTGTCCTCGTAAAATACAGGGTTAGCAAGAATCCTCCCTACATCAGTTTTATAAGAACCCCCAACCCTCTATATTTGATCACTCTTGAATATCTGACCAGTTCTTGATCCTCCATAACCTACAGGGGGATGTCTGACCATCCTTGCCTGGCTTTAGCAAGAATCCTATTAAGTCAGTTTAGCCAGAACTCCTCTTATTCGTGATGTTTCCTTAGGAATTTTCCACCCACTGATCTCCTATTCTGCTCCTTGGCTATAGACATTCCCATTTGCTCATGCTGGACTTGGAGTTAGCTCAATACTTTGTCCTCACAGTGAAGTCCCATTGCCATGGTCCTTATAGCTATTTCAATACATCACCTCCTTGAGGAAACTTTCTTACTGTGCTGTATCAATACTTGAAAAGAGATTCTCTGTTATAGGGAGGAGATGGTTCTCCAAGAGATAACAGACCTACATGATATATCCACACTGCTTTCCATCACTATGACAGCTATATTCAAAGTCTTTCCCATGGCCTGCACCACCTAATGTAATCTGGTTTCTGATGAATTTCATTCTCCTTCTCTTACTCTGCTCCAACCACACAGGTACTTGCCATCTTTCTAAAAGTTTAGACACATTCACTCTCAAGGTATTTTCTCATAATTATCCCTCTGCCTAGAAGGTTCTTCCTCCAGACAGTTTTAGAGTTATTCCTTCACTTTGTATCGGTCTTTTACCAAATACTACCTCCAGCGGAAATTTCTGTGGCCACCCTATCGAAGATAGCATCTTTGTCAATCTCTATTCCTTATGCTGACATTTCTTTTTATCATGATGCTAATTCTCATGACTTGACATAGGGTGTGTTTGGTTATTGTCTATCTCCTGAGAAATCTGTCTTTTGTGTTCTTTTTTTCAGCAAGTTGGTGAGGGGTACCCTGTGCACTGCTGTAGCCAAACTGTAGGTTCAGTTTACCCTCCCTGTTTGCCTCTCTTAAGCATGTCTTCTCTCTCAGACACAGGATGCGTGATAGGAACCTTGACCAACCCCAATTTACAGACAAAAAAAACTGAAACTCAGAGAAGAACAGCAAATAAGGAAGATTTGAGTTTTGTGAGGCCTGATGATTCAAAATTTCTTTTGCAGGGGAAGTGGCTCTTTAAGAAAAAATACAGAATTCAAATACAAAATGCTGTGGCCACTACAACACCACCCAACATTCCAGAGAGAAAAATGTGATGGAGAGAAAAGTCACAGTGCAAAGAGACAGAGGTCTTAGTATGGATAAAATGGCCGATGAAAATTTTCCAAAGCTTGAGACATATGACAATACTGCAATGGCCCCTGATGGCTTCCCAGGGGTGGGGTTGCTGAAGCTCAGTTTCATTGTTATCATGATAAACTGATGATGCAACTAGCTGAAAGTCACTGGAGTGGGTAGAGCTGGGCTGCATTTTGGATCCTTCTGGTAAGCAGGAGCAATTTTGATGAATGGTGGTGTGCTAGTGAATAAAGCTGAAGAGGGAGAGAAGGAATGTAGGGGAAATAGAAACAAACGCTGTAACAGTTAGAGATTTTTTGGAAGCCCAGAATGTCAGAAATGGGGACAGACACCAGAAAGGAGTACGTATTAAACAAAAGAGCTAAGCCTCAGGATTGGGGTTTTGGGAGAGGGCCCTTTTCCTGACTCCCAGTCACTGCTGCACAGGCCCGTCTACCCGACTGCACCCAGGCCTGTGGGTGTGAGGTGGCAGAGGAGAAGGACACAGGAAAAGGGTGAGTCTCTGTCCTAGGACAGCCTTGCCCATCAGCTGAGCTGCCTTTTCTCCATCATGATGCTGCCTTTTATCCAGAAAAATCTCTTTAGCATGTGGTGATGTGCAACACCTCTCAGAAAGTAAGTAAAACTCAAGTCTCAGACCTGGGGTTGGTCAGACTCATCAAAAACAGTGGAAGGATTCTAGGTCAGTACAAAGCCAAAGGTTTCTTACCAGAAATCAGGAAGACCATCACGAAGAGAGCATTCTTCAGTCCCATAATGCTAGCATTCAAAAAAGAAACAGTAAGACTTAATTAGAACATGAAACCGAAAACCAAAACATGACAGTGAAGTTTTGGACTCACTAAAGTCTATGGGGTGTGGCAGAGACCTTGCAATGTGTTCCCAAACCCATTTCCTGTTCTTCCCTGCTCCACAGCTTTTTCACTTGGGCATTGTGATTGGGCTCTGGCTCATCCAGTTGTGGGCAGAAAAGATGGTGTTGCTTCCAGACCTATCTGCCAAAGCCTTCTCTCGTTTCTCCTTCATCTGCCTTTTTAGCTCAGAGACCCAGAGGAGAAGGCTCAGACCAACAGGATGGCAAACCTGACTCTGAAAGGAAACTGGTTTGAACTGGTTTGCTGAAGAAATTAATACAACTCTTCACCTCACACTTATCCATATTGGATTGTGACATGAGCAAAAACTAAGCTAATGAGGATTTTCATATTGTTTATTAATAGTTGCTAGTGTTATAGCTTGACTAATACAGTGGGTATGATGCAGCAAATGGAGAGCATATGTCTAGAAATAAACTTTCCTTTCATTTTCCTGTGGTTCTCACACTTTAATATAACTGAAAATCTCCTGGAGATTAAAAGCAGTTTTCTGGGCCTCAGCCACAGAAGTTCTGACTCAGTTAGGGGGAACCTAAATCTCATAAATCACAGGTGATGATGATGTTACCTGTCTAAAGACACCACTTGGAGAACCACTGCACTGTAGTATATACTTAATCCACATGATGGAGCTGAGGAAAATGGCAGGCTTATTTTATAACTTCTGTCCATACTTTCTCCCTTCTCTCCCTCCCTCTTTTATACTCACCCATTCACTGCAACTTAGATAAGAAGGACTATGGACTGACTTATAGGAAACAGAGAATAAGGAAAGACAATCAGTATCATAAACAGGAGAAGAGCAAACCAAATAAGGACTATTAAATGGAGCCGGCTAGAAGGCCAACACTAAATGTTTACCATGGAAATCTGCCCACCTTGCGTAGTCTGAGTCTCAAACTTGGCTTGTAGCTTTGTCATAGACAACGGAAAAAGGAAAACCTAATTGGTAATTTATAGACCTGTTCATACCAGTGTCCAGGAGAAGATACAATTCAATAGCAGAAATTTCTTCCTTGTTTAGAGGCATCCTGACCCCTTTGGAGAACATCAGACACTGTCCCTCTGTTCCACAGCACCCAGAGCCTTGCATGATATGTCTTTCATGTTTCTTCCCTTCAAGACTGCTTTTGTGATTTAAGAATACAGTATGCCAGCAAGATACTAAATTTAAAGGGTAAAGGTGAAAACAAGTAGAAAGCCAGGCTTTCTCCTGGGGGCAGGAGTACAGAACTTCCCTTGCCAGTTTCTTGCCTTGACTTAGTTATTTTAGACAAAAAATGAAAAAACATACACTGACAACTACCCTTCTACCTTTTGTCTCCATGAAATTGACCACTCGAGGTACTTCAGACAGAGGGATTCATGTAGTATAGGTCTTTTATGATTAGTTTATTTTATTTAGCAAATGTATTCAAGACTCATGCATGTTGTAACATGTCAGAATTTCCTTCCCCTTCAAGACTGGATATAGGCCACTATACGGATCACTGTACACCACATTTTGTTTGTCTGATCATTTGTTCATGGACATTTGAGTGCTTCCACATTTTGGCTATTGTGAATAATACTATGAGTGTGGGTGTATAAATATCTGTGACCTTGCTTTCATTTCTTTTGGGTGCATACTCAAAAGTAGAATTACTGAATCATATGGTAATTCTTTTTAATTTTGGGGGGAATCACCATACTGTCTTCTATAGCAGGTGCACCATTTTCCATTTTCACTAACAGAGCACAAGAGTTCCTTTTTCTCCATATTTGCCAGCACTTATTTTCTGTTGAGAAGTAGTTCTCACTGTAATTTTATTTTTTTAATCTTTGTTCTGATCACTGATTTAATTTTAAATGAATTTCTTTTATTATGATTCTTTTCAAATGTATTAGAGATATTTCTTTCTCCATAAGCTGTCTGTACATTTCTTTCACCTCCTTTTCATTTGCAACTTCTGTCTTCTTTTTCTTTTTCTTGTTGATTTATAAGAGTTCTTTTATGTAAAAAAAAAAGGCGCTAGTTAGTAATTAGACAGTATTTTGTGACAATGAGTTAGAAATATACTCAATTGCTGAAAGGACAGTAGGTGTTCAATATGTGACCTTCACAGTGGTTCCTAATTGTTTTTTCCTTCCATCCCAATGATGTCTATAGATTTCTTTTGGGCCAAAGCTGACATGACTCAGTGGTAGAGCCTAGGAAGATTTTCACATGGTTTCTTTGTACTTTCTTATACAAATCACTTCAGCATCCTATTTATCATAGAATATGAGGACTCCCAACAAATAGACGGTTCTCCCACTGTTTGCAAACCAAAACTAGTATGCTTGACTTAACCAAAGATATTTATTTTCTTTTTAAAGATTTATTTATTGATGCTTACAAGAACTAGGGTACAGGCCAGAAGTGTGGGGCTAGGAGGAGTGAGAGGATTCATCAGAGACAGAACAGGAAGCGAACAGGCTGGTTTACTGAAATACACTGCTGAGAGGAGCAGTGGGTGGGTCAGGAGAGGTCTGCCACACCATGGGCACCTCCTTGGCTGGGATCAAACTCAGTGCTGCAGTGGCTTCAGATAGCTTCACAGCGCTGTGCTTTAACCCGTTGCACCACCAGGGAGGGTCCTAACCAAAGATACTTATTTTCAAATAAATTGGGGTGGTATGTTGAAGAAGGACACAAGAGTCATATTATATTTCTCTGTAAATATAAATTTAACGAGTCATCTTTAATTCAATAGCCAACCCAACACCAGTAGGCCCTGGGAAGCCTTGGACAAATAGTCTCTATAATTCACATGGTAGGGGTGGAGCCCTGTGTTTGACAAGGAAGTCTATACCATTTTAACTTCTCTATTTGGGAATCCTTTCTTCCCTTGAGTGAACAACTGCCTCTCCTTAACTTTCACTACTGACACTGGTTTTGTTTTCTGAACTATCCAGAATAACACTTTTGTCAAAGACTTTTAAGGCTGTCGGGACAGCTATCATGTCCATCCTTGAAATCCTGGCCTGGCAGTGACAGTCCTTCTAGTTAACTTCACTCATACTAATTGGGGAGATGATACAGCATCCCACTGTCCTGAATGACAGTCCTGATGCTTAGTTGCCTGGGCAGACACCCGATGTGAAAAAACAAGAGGCTGACATGATTTCTTTTGTAATTAATGCCCCACATAAAGAATGTCTCTCAACTTAAGCCAGAAGGAGTGTGCCAGTGGGGGACTGGGTTAGGAAGTCAATTTCTCCAATATTGTTGGCACTGAAGAAGAGCAGAAATGTCACTGCTCCCTTGGGAATGAACCCCCAACAGCAACCCCAAGTCATTGCTTTCTCCAGGGGGTGTGAAATGGAAACTTGCTTTTGGAAGGAGAGAGCACAAAGGGGAATGGGAAAGGAAAGAACCTAAAATTTGTGAGGGGATTCTCAGAGTAGCTTTCTGTAATCTGTGAGAATATGGTCTGTGAGGTGAGTGACCTAGCCAAGAACTATGAATGAACAGCCTCTGTGTAGCTGCAGGTTCACTTCAGAAACCAAACAAGAACACCCACCAGACATCACTTCCCCTTATTTTATGTGCCTGGGCCATCACAGACCATGAGAGAGAGACCAGCTGAATGATTTATTCTATTATTCTATTATCATTTTTTACAATAACGTGGGATTATTTGCTCCCACGTTACAGATGAAGAAATGGAGTCCCAGAGAGGTTAAGAAACTTGCCTCAGGCCCCCTGGCTAGAGGGTAGTAGACGCCCACTCAGCATCACTGTAGTCATTTAACACTGATGTAGTTCCTTTAAAAGTTCCAGCCAATTTCAACTGTGTTGAGGGAGGAGATAGCAAGGATTTTAGTTGTACCACAATCAGAATAGCAGTGTAGCAGCACATCTCCAGGAGAGGTCGATGGAGCCTTGTGGAATCAGATTGGGACACTCGGACAAATGGCCTACGATGGGGGTGGGAAGAGGCCAAATGTATTACTTTCAAGGCATTTACTGTCCTGATCTTCCATCCACTGCACAAATACTGCTGGCTCACCCATTATGTGACAGGCCGAGAATGTTCCTCTCCACTCCAGCCCTACGCAGCAGGTACAGTTTGTTAGCGTGGGTTTAGCTCCTTGCAGGCATGGCTTTGCTCCAGCTCAGCCTCACTAGAAGAGCCCTGGGGAGATATGAGCACTTGAACAGAAAAAAAGGGAGAAATACAGATGGATCTGTTGTATCTCAGGTCTGAATGAACCTGGGGGATCCAGTTCAGGCGAAAGGGCACATGAAAGGACAAGGAGCAGCGGCGCCAGAGTGGGGTCAGAGTGTGGTTCTAATGACACAGGGAGTGAAGGGCTTCCAAAGCAGGAGTTGGGAGGCAATGAAGTTCCTATGTAATAACTGTGAAGGTAGCAACACCTTCTTCTCCTGGAAAAAAAACGAGGGTCCTTACTCCTCGTAAAGCAGGAGATGGGAGGACTAGGTCAACCTTGGGCCGAGGCTTAGTCCCTGGCTCATGGTTTTCACCACAACATGACTAGACAAGCCAGGCTTGCCGGACTGGCACTGTGAGCTGGATCGGGGCAGCGTGAAGTCGAGGAAGACTATCCAAGGGCTTGGCTGGCTCCTGGGTGTGACACATACTTGATTTACTTCTTGAAGCTCCAAAACCTGAAAGTACCCCTTTGAAGCAGCTTCATTACCTTGAAAGCTCTGGAAAGAATAGATAGGCTCATTTCTAATTTCAAAAAGTTTCTGAACTGCAAGATAAGAATGCGGCTAAAAATTGAATCCACCTGAATTTTAACAAACTTCTGATAAAATATCTCTTGAAGTGCTTGAGAGCAATATGGAGATTTGCGGGAGCAATATTAGCAGTTATTTGGTTTACAAGCTCTGCT